AATCCTACCTTGCCTTATCTATCAGCTGTTTGGAATAGATCTCACTCAATGGACCGATTACCCTTTCACTACTTCTTCTTTCACACTGTCCTGTGACTTCCCCACCCTCCATCCTCTTTGGTTTGGTTTTATGGTTAAGAGCGGCAGACTCTGATTTGGAGAACTGGTTTTGATTCCCCACTTCTCCACATGGAGCCAGCTGGTTGACCTTGGGCCAGTCACAGCTCTCTCAGAACTCTCTCAGCTGCACCTACCTCACAGGGTGTCTGTTGTGGGGAACAGAAGGGAAGGAGATTGTAGGCTACTCTGAGCCTCTGGGTAGTGAAGACTGGGGTATAAAACCAATTCTTCTTCTTCCTCTTCCTCCTGTTGGTTTAACTCTTATTTAGCCACTTTGGATGAATAATAATATATAATAATAATACTTTCCATTTATTAATCACTTTCCCCAGTGAGCTCAAAGTGATGTACAGTTACTCAATATAGACAAGGGACTAACAATGTTTGTAGGGGAAAGGGAAGACAACATATATTCATTTAATTGCACACGCCGTCACTGCCCGGTGTAAACGTCTTCTGGCTTGGCTCCGTCGTTTTCCGCACGGCTGCTTGTTGACCAGGCTTCAGGAACCGTATGTCACTCCATTCATCTGATCATGTGAGCTCTAACTCACAAAAGCTTTTGTTAGGTCTATAATGTGCTCATTTATTTTTTATTTAAACTAATTTATACCCCACTTTCTTCCTAATGGAGATTTGGAGACCCAAAGAAAGAAGAGAACCAGCTATAGGTAGTTATTATGGATTGATTAAGTAATTAAGGTGCAAGAACAAGGCAGAGTATATGGTTTTAGATATGAAGGTTAAATCTTTCTTCCCACTTGGCATGCTTGAAGCTACAAAGCACTGTGAATCCAAATAGGGTGCAGGCGCTTCTTCGCTTCATTCTGGTTACTGATCAGTAGCAGAGCCACCAAGCACTTTTTAAAGTGAGACCTCAGGCGCTTGGAAAACTGGATTGTGTGGACAGTGCAACAGTTTGTGACATTTTATATACTGCTGTGGAATCACAGCACTCAGCACTAAGTCAAGGAACCTGGACTAAAAGAATCAGATTCTTCGGTCTTTGTTAAACATTGACTGCAGATTCTGGGATGGCCACTACTTCCATGCCAATCTCTGAAGTTCTGCAGTGGCTCATTTGCTACTAGAACACGGGATCAACCAATGAAGTTGACTGGTAGTTGACTCAGGAAGCATTTCTTCACACAAGATGTAAAATGGGATTCAGTGTCACAGCGTGTGGTGACAGCCACTAGATTAAAACAAGGTATTAAACAAATTCATGTAGAAAGATGGGTCTAATAAGACGAGGCGGCATCATGTGTTCCAGAATGGCTGCTGACCACAGAGGGATGTTTAGTCTGATCCACTGATGCATTTCTCATGTTTAATGGGACAGCGTCATTGCCATGCTGGGCCAGGCAATGCTTCTGAAGTTTAAGAGCCCTTTCCCAGGCTTCTTCTTCTGCTTTGTTCCATGGCAAAAACTTACATGGTGCACAATGCTAATGGATAGGGAGAAGGCGCTATTACAGAGAAGGACAAACATTATGTTTCTGGGAGCTACTTGCTTTTTTAATCCAGGGCCTCAAGAAAGCTGTTGTTGTTGTTGTTAGCCATTCAGTCGTTTCCGACTCTTGTCGATTCTATGGGCCAGCTCTCTCGAGTTTTACAATCTTGTACTGTTTTCTGGGAGCTACTTGCTTTTTTTAATCCAGGGCCTCAAGAGAGTTGTTGTTGTTAGCCATTCAGTTGTGTCTGACTCTTGTCAATTCTATGGGCCACCTCTTTCCATGTTTTCCGATCTTGTACTGTTTTCTTGAGTTGTTCCATGCTCAGGCTGGTGTCAACTTTTATGGTGTCTAGCCACCGTGTTCTTTGGTGGCCCGGTTTCCTTTTGCCGTTAACCAATCCAAGCATAATTGTTTTTTCTAGTGAGTTCTTCCACATGACATGGCCAAAATAAGTCAGTCGCAGTTTTGTGCCATTTCACAAAATGGCAAGTCAGTGAATGGAGCTAGTCACAAAATGGCAATTTGTACAAAGAAATATACCACTCAGAGCCGGTCTACGAAGGCTTGGGTGTGGAAACCTTTCTTCCACTGTTCTCCCAAAGCAAACCCCCACACCAAAGTGTAACTTGCCATGCAGGAGGGGAGGGAATATATAATTACTTCTGTTTTCCCCTGGAAGAGGCAAATAGCTTTGAATCTGATGCAGGAGGAAAGGGGCAACAGCACGCTCCCTGCCTGTCCAAAGCAAGGGTAAATGTTTGCACACATGATGGAGAAAGAGAGATGGATGAGAAAGGAGCTGGTGTTGTCATTTCCCCATCCAGTGCAAAGGTGCATACAGGTGCTTGCCTCCTTCCACTCAAAGGAGAGAGAAACTGCTGCTTTAGCTATAATGGGAATGATAAGAACGTGATTACAGCAGGCTGGATGGGGGAAAGTTACTTCTAATTGAAGAGTGACCAGTCACTCCCAAGAGATTTTATGCCTGCCTGTGATCTGTTCGATACATCAGAAGGCCCTGGACCAGCTACAGGATAGAGTGATAAATTAAAATCGTCTCAGGCCCTGGGCACACGGGCTGGATATCACGGGGGGAGGCGTGGTTATTTGCCCCGGCACAGTTTGATGCACGATTACACGATCAGACTCGCCAGCGGCACAGCACGGGTCTTTCCCTCGGCACCAGCGGGTAAACGAGGGACCAGAGGGGAATGCCGTGCGCCGGCGCGATCACACCACGGGCGTCTGGAGGCAGCCCGTGGCAAACATTTACTAGTTTTTAAATCCGCATTGTCAGCGGTAAGCCACGGGTGTGCTCCACTTCCCAGATGTTGGGGTGTGATCGCTCCCGGATAATCCACCCACCTTCTGTGCCTCTCCCACGGCAACTTTGCCGTGTGACCGGGGGCCCTGCCTCTCAAGCCGGTACTGCTGGCTAGCTTATTTTCCCCCCAAAGATAAAGATGAAAGTTCCCCCCCCCCCCAATGGGTATGGAGAGCAAGGAAAGCAAGACACAGTGGGTTTTTAGGCTATTCAAGAGAAATAAGCCTTTTCCTGCTAAGAGCTAGCTAGGGCTTTGCATTTGCTGCTGCTACTACTGTGACTATAAGGATTTGCAGGCTTTATCTAAGCGGGCTTGCATCTTTGACATGGTGCACTTAGAGAAGAATGAAGTGGGCAGGACTGTACGGCAGAAGAAGGAGGAGGAGGAGAAGGAGGAGGAGGAGATTGGATTTATACCCCGCCCTTCACTACCCAACAGTGTCTCAGAGCGGCTTACAAACTCCTTTCCCTTCCCCTCCCCACAACAGACACCCTGTGAGGTAGGTGGGGCTGGGAGAGCTCTTGACAGAAACTGCTCTTTTTCAAGAACAGCTGTGCCAGAGCTACAGCTTGCCCAAGGTCATCCAGCCAGGTGCAAGGGGAGGAGTGGGGAACTAAACCCGGTTCTCCCAGATAGGAGTCCAACCACTACACCAAACTGGCTCTCTGGAATGCCCCCAAGTGGCAGCTTCCTGTGGTCAGATAGGACCGTGTAGCCAGGTCAAGAGGTGACAGTCAGTTTCCCATCTTGCTTCAGACCGCAGTTGGATTGTTTCTTTCCAGAACCTGTATCTCTGGCTAATTTGCAGCATCTACATGTCGAGATGGAACCATGGAGCCACCTGTAGCTTTCCTTTTTACTTTAAAACTCAAACCGTCCTTGAGAGGCTGTAAATTTAAACAGTGGAGGGTGGTGGTGGATAGGGTGATTTGTTTAACCCTTGCTGGGCCGTGCTCATGAGGTCCCTTGTCTTTCCTGCCACCTGTAACAGCACTCCAGATCTATTGCCTTCTGGAAGGGTCTCTTCTGGGGCTGTCCTAGATAACAGGAGTTGCTTTTCCGCTGAGAGGATGAGGAGGGAGAAGAATTTAAACAGTCTTGTGTATAACCTAAGTACATCATCATCTCTCCCCCCCCTTAAGAGTGAAAGAAAAAAAAAATAAGAAACCTCTGCATGGTTTGCACATGAAAGAAGTAAAAGGAAGGAAGTGATTAGGGGGAGCCTGCACTGTCCTTTGTGAAGGTTCCCTCCAGATTGCTCCTTAATCCACTCGAGGGGGAAAGACAAAAAGAGGGAAAAGGGAAGATCCCAGATGGGATCTTGTTTGTTGGGTTGCAGCTAAACCCAAAAGGAGCCCACCACAGAATCGTGAGGCTGCCATTGAAACGGAAGCACTCTTGTCAGGCACAAGACAGGAGTAAGAGGCAAAAAAAGTGTGTGTGTGTGGGGGGGGTGAGCTGCAGGCCAAACAGTTCTCTTTGGGGCTCCTCCACTCTGCAAAGGCATTCTCCCCCCCTCCCCCCCCCCCCCCCCCCGCAAACAGAGGAGTTTCCTTTGGGCTTGATTTTGTTGTTGGCTCCTTTGATGTACTTAATCTCTCGGCTCCCCTGCCTTTACACACACACACACACACACACAGAGGCACGCAGCTGCTCTGGACGTTTAGCCAAGGGAATCCAGAGCCAGAGCCTCCACGCACCCGATCCCTCCCGCCCTCCCCCCCTTTTTTAAAAAGTGGTTTCTTTGGCGCGGGAGGGGGGGCTCTTCTTGGGGATTGTAGCGAGCAGGCAGCGCGGGCGGGCGGGCTCCTTCCCTGCCCCCGACTAAACCCCGGATTGATCCCGGCTGCGCCTGGCACGGCGCCACCCCCCAGCCCCACAGCTCCTTTGCCAAGGCGGACAGGGGGGGGAGGGGGGGCTCTCGCTCTGCTCTGCTCTGCCTCCGCTTCCTTTGCCTCCTTCCCCTCCTCGATGAGAGCGCCGCGCTGAGCCGCCGGGGAGGCGGGGAGCTCGCGGGGAGGCTGCTGGGGAGCCCGGCGGGCGGGGAAGGGCAGAGACGCGGCGCCCCGCGGACGCTCGCTCGCCCCAGGCCCTCTCCATGGACGCCGCCCGGGGACGCCGGCCCGGCTGGTGGGGGGAGTGCCTCCGGGCCACGCTCTGGCTCTGCTGCTGCTGCTGCCTCCCGGGCTCGGGCAGCCCCACCTGGACCCACGCCGGACTCCAGTACGCCCCCCGGAGGTAGGTGACCCCCCCCCGGCGGGGGAGGGGGAAAGAGACGCGCTCTGCATGGGGGGCCGCTCGAGGCAGATCTTTCCCCCCCCTCCGGATTTGTTTGTTTGTTTGTTGACACCTCAGTACATTCGGGATTGCTTCGGCGCCTGCCTCTCGTCGGAAGGTCGGGCTTCTTATGCAGCATCCTGTTTCCCAGAGCAACCGGGCAGATGCCTCTGGGAAAGCCGTAAGGCAATCGCCTTTCCCCGGTGTTAGCGCTCCGTTCTGGTGCACTGCCCGTGAACATGGAGGCTCCATTAGAGTAGCCTGGAAGGGGGGGGGGATGGTCTCTCCCTTTAACAGAAGCTTAATGGGATATTCCCCAAGGGGCGGTCTTTACCTCCATGCCATGCAAAGCTCTTCCACGCTTGAAGCCTCCCTTAAACAGCCGGGACGCTTCCCTCCTGTTAGAAACCTTAGGCTCCATTTAGCTATCAGGATGTGTAGCCTCTGATAGACCTCTCCTCCTCCTGGACTTTGTCCGGTCATACCGGCTAGGTTTTCTCCGTCACTTCTTGTGGCTGTGAGTTCCACAAGAACCTGCGAGTTCCACCTCGCAGTCTCAGACCAAGAAGCATCGTGCGATTCAGCAGTCAGCATCCTTATTCCAGCGGGAGCCAGCCTGGCATCTTTGGGAAGCTCTCCAAGTAGAGCCAAAGCAACAGCCCACCTCTGCCTCCCCCCCCCACATCTGCTAGAGAGTGTCTGAAAACAGAATTTCCATTTATCCATCCTCTATCAAAGTGCCTAATCCTTTTTTTAAAAAGCCATATAAGGTCATGAGTATCTCTCCTACCCCCCCCACCCCCATTTTGTGGTTGTGCATTCCGTAAGGACATAATTGCCTTGCAGGATCAGGTCCACAAACTCCAGAATAGCAGCTTTCCTTATCCCCGGTATTTAAAGAGATTATTGCCTCCATGTTTGGAGGTGCCATCTAACATTTGCGGCTGTTACTTGATAGATGCATTCTCAGTTGTGCAGATGTGTGGCTTTGTCCAATCTCTTTTAAAAGCTACCAGTGGACCTCACCAGATGTTGTGACAGTGAATTCCATTTTTTAAAAAGACGCGATGTGTGATAAGTGCTCCTCCACCACCTTCAAATTGTATCCTAATCCACGTTTGCTGAGCATTTGGAACCAGTGCAGGGCTGCTTTGCTTCCAAAAGTTGCCTAATACAGGCAAACATTCAACAAGTGAAGCTGTTCCTAGCGTAGAATGGGGGAATGTTTTAGTGGCTGAATTTCTGCCTTCTGCACAGCTGTTGAAGGCACTCTGGGAAAAGGCTGTCAGAGCCACTTAGTGTGTGTCTATTGGGGACGCAGCATTGGCCAGTGGTTACTGCCTAACACTGGAACTTAGAGGAACTAGATTCTTCTTTTGGCCACTCCTGCATGGTGAGTGATGTGTGGGACTTGGATGTGGACGATTCAGAGCATTCTGGATTGGCTTCAGGGAAGCAGCCAATATTCTTCCTGGCCTACTTTGCAGGGCTGCTGTGTGGATAAACTGATGCTCTTATTTACCATTTCTGTCCCCTTTCCTTTGGAGCGTGCGAAATGCGTTGCAGGGGTTCTCAGTGCTTGGCCAGCTACCATAGAGAGTACACTAGGAACTCTGAATATCCCCCTCAAATCTTTCCTTTTACTTTCAGAATCAGAGGCATTTCAAAAAATAAGGAACAGAGTATTGGAGGTAGAGCTAGCCAATCTGTACAATGCAGCTAATAAGACCTCCTCTCCTGTTAGCCATGGGATACTTCCCACTGTAGGATTTCTCCCTAGTTATTTCTACCAACTACAGACTTCAAAAATGCATAGATTTTTTTTCTCTTGCAAGGCTTAATGTTTTACCTTCAGCGATTTTAACCAGAAGATTTCAGTGTATACCACTTACTAATTGCCCTTGTTCAAATGGAACTATTGAAACAGTGCCTCATGTATTGTTAGTGTCCTTATTATAATAATAATACACAAAGTATTTTATCTCCAATTTTATCCAGCATTATGGATTTTCCGATACATATAAATTGTTTCTACTTAACAACACTGATGACAATATAACCGATTCAGCGACAAAGTTTTTATATGTTGCTGTTCTTATACGAAGCCATATACTGTAATTTTGGGACATTTCAGTTTGTGATTCTTTTTATATTTGGTTCTTTTATGTATTTGTTTAATGTTCTCCCTTTTGTAATGCCAGTAAAGGTTAACTAACTAACTAACAGTTCTGGGAGGCAGCTAGTTAGCATTCCTAATGTACTGGCTGAGAAAGGGCAGCCTGCTTAAGATCTTCCAAAGAGCTCAGCAGGAGTGTGAAAATAAGATTCTCTAATTGCCCTGACCTGGATAGCCCAGACAACCCCGATCTCATCAGATTTTAGAAGCTAAGCAGGACTGACCCTGGCAAGTATTTGGATGGGAGACCTCCAGAGAATACCAGGGCCAGGAGGCAGAGGCAGGCTATCAAGCCACTTCTCTGAACCTTCTCCATACCCCAGTAGGAGTTGCCAGAGGTCACCACTTCCAGGCATGGGGGCATGCATGGCACACACAAAAATGCAAAAATACAAAAAAAGAAGATTCTCTAATCTAAGGTGGCTTTTTCTGACACCACGGATGTTGAATTTACCTTAAGAAAATATTGTCCCCAACTATTACTATTTTCAGTGGTCACTCATTTAATTTGATGTTTCCATAGAAACCTCACAGACTGTCTGGACTTTTTGCATTCCATTGCCTAGAATTTTCTTTGCACCCATATATATCTGCAGATGTAGGTGTGTATGTGTGCATTATTATGTACATATTATATATGACAAGTGGAGACCCGCAAGAAACTTGCGGAATGGTTATCCTATTCCTCACACCTTTGCTTTCTCCTCTCTCCCTCTACCTCTCTCTTTCTCCCTTCTGCCCCCCCTTTTTTCTTTTTCTCCTCCAGCTATGGCATTATACTGATCTGTAGTTCCTTCCCTCCTCCAATCTCACCCTCCCCAGGCTCCACCCCACAAATGTCCAGGAATTTCCCAACCTGGAGTTGGCAACAAAATTTCCTTCCCACACAACAGCCAACCTACCTTTATCTGCCTCTCTGTCTGCAACTTTCCATCTCCACACCCCTCCCCCACAGCCTCTACCTAGGAAAATTACAGTCTTTCTCCACAGTGGGGACCAAAGCAGCTTACATTATTCTCTCCTCCTTTTTATCTGCACAACAACACTGTGAGGTTGACTAGGCTGAATGTATGTGACTGGTCCAAAATAACCCAGTTAGCTTCCACTGCAAGATAGGGATCTGAACCTGGGTCTCGCAGACCCTAATCTGAAGCTCTAACTGATGCACCGCACCGGCTTTCATAGGGTGGCTGCTGATGAACAGTAGCAAGCAGCTGGGCCTACTTGAGTCATGCAAATCAGGTGGTATCAAGTCACCCAGAGGGTGCTGCCGAGGGATGCCAGCCTCCAGGTGGGACCTGGGGATCCCCTGTAATTCCTGCTCATTTCCAGACTACAGAGATAACTTCCCATGGAGAAAATGGATGCTTTGGAGGGTGGACTCTGTGACATTGTACCCCACTGAGGTCCCTGTCCTCCCCAGGCTCCTCCCGCAAATCTCCAGGAGTTTCCCAGCCTGGACCTGGCAACCTTATCCAGAATCCCCTGTCGGTGGCCAGGGGGGGAACCTGGCAACCCTAAAGTGCTGGCAGGCCTAGGCTTGGCAACCTCTAAATGGGGCCTGAAGGAAACCCCCCACCCCCAGACTTACAACTGAACTCAAGGCAGCAGAGATCTGTGACTCCCTGGAGAAAATGACTGCTTTGGAAGGTGGACTCTGTGGCATTATACCCAGCTGAGACCTCTCCCTTCCCCAATCCCACCTCAAAACCTCTAGGGACTCCCCAGGCCAGGCCCCAAGGCTCCCCCCCTCCCTGAAAGGCCAACGGAGGCCTGGAAAAGGGCCCTTCCCCCACCCCCTTTGACTCACAGAGCCAGTTAGAA